GGTGGGGGTTTGAGGTTAATTACTGAAACTCCAAAGGAGCGGGATACTGCAAACTCCAGACAGCTTCCCTAGCATTCTTCAAAAATTCAAATGCTTCTTGAGCTAGTTACTGGAAAAATCATAAATTGTTAGGATTATACAAACCTTCACCATACTAAAAATCACGCCCGCTGCTAGTCAAATGCTTATTGAGCTTGTGGGATCTGTGGCAGTAAAACACTTATTTCCATTTTCCCCTTCTTTTTTGTGTTTGGTTTTGTTAATGGTGAGAAACAGGAACTCTATCTGTCAAAAGACAGATGAAGCATAATTGTTATTCCTTCAAGTCTATTGTCAGATAACGAAATAATTTGATGAAGGTCAAATCAGATAGAATTACAGTCTTGAGTCTTAAAATAGCCTTTGCCGATGCCAACTTGCTTCGTATTGAAGCATAGTTGTTGTTGTGATTTAAATAGCTTTTCTGTGCTCTCCTGGTCCATTTGGTCGAAGCTTTTATCATCATTGCCCCTCATTGGTAATTCACCATTTGAACTTCGGCAATTATGATAACTTGCATGGTCATAATGCTGTCTTTGAGGACCTTTTTCCATTGACTCGCATCATTTGATTTCATATAGTTTGTCATACAATGTTTAACATTTAGGTTTGGTATGATGTGATATTTTCTGTCTTCTTAACAATCATGTGCCTTGGGTGCTGCAGTGCGCTGGTTTGGGGTTCAAGTGCAAAACACAAACCTCAGAGGGTGGGCAGGGTAATTACTCTGAACTGCTTGCATCACATTTTATCCGCTGATTTCTTTGTCGCTTGTCCCTTCCTAGATTTTATGCAATTAGGATGCTGTTCTTTACACTTGTTCTGTACCAGGAACATGAACTAGAAGATGAAGACGTCGTCCAAATCATCAAGAAGGTGTGATTGTAGAACTTGTACTTTGAATGCTGCAGTTGATGCAGATCTCTAGCACTAAAGGGTTTCATCGCATGTTGAGGTTTGTCCTAGATTGCATCCCTTGGTTTAGTTGTCCTTTTTCCAGTAGTTAGATCTAGTTTGAACAAAGTAAATCTTGTTGTGCCTGTTGTCACGGACAAGCTATATGGTGAATCTGCACATGTGCTGGCTAATCGTCCTCTGTATCATCTAAAGCCTGCCCCAGGGAGCAGTTAGTGGTAGTTGAAACTGCAAAAATTTAGTTTGTTTGTTCATACACTGTTGCCTCCAACTGGAGCTAAAATTTTCCATGAGAACTTTTAGTGTTTTTGATGATTTTATGTTGAATCTTTCTTCAAATCTCCATTACATAAACCAGGGCTTTCCATGCGTCGGAAAAAGAATCTAGGAGTAGGAGTTTCCAAATCTCTAGTTTGGCTCCCATCTAGTTTGATGCAACCTCTATTAAACTTTTGTCAGATTTCAGAATATTCTGGTAAGTAAATATTTACAAGATTACTTCAAACCTGCCCACTAATACTTCCATTTAATATAGGGAAATTACCAGTTATGTCAGCCTATAAGTAAGTTAGTACAAAAAATTAGCCAATTCATAAAATATTATTAATATTAGCCAATTAGCTATTTGTAGTAAAAAAAATATCAAGTTTTTGCTTTCTTTTGAGTGGGTGTTGGTGGAATAGATTGGATATATCTTAAAGAGTTTAAATCTCAGTTTTGGGATGATTTGGTAGAGTTTTGAGGTGGCTTGAATTGAAAATTCGAAGTAGAAGATGAACATGGAAAAAGATGATATGTGTATCACACTGTGTATCATTTTTGTATCATATGTATACCTGTGTGTGAGATACATGCGTGATACATGTGTTGCAGAAGATCTTTTTGAACTCGATTTTAACTACGAATTTTGATATCAAATCAGTCTAATTCACCTCCAATCTTCCTCAAATTTTATATATAGACTCATCTATATGTTTTCAATGAATTTCAACCTTACTCATTGAAGGTCTCTTTTTGCTTAGATTTTTGAAATTTTATATATATATATATATATATATATATATATATTGTATTTCATTATGTTGTTTGCTACCTCATCATGAAATTTTCTTTCCGTCTTGCATCTAATGTTGTTGATTCTTGGAAGGATATATTTGTGAAAAAATATGGAAGGGTATATTTGTTTGTGATTCTTGGAAAGAAAGAATCCTTATTCATTTGAGTTTTCAATTTTTGTATGTGCTTGGTTAGTTTTGGTAACTATATAATTAATGGCTAAAGGTTGGTAAGTTAGGACTTATTTGGACCTTTTCCGTAAGATTCCCTTCAATATATGACCTTCACTTTATGAAGGTTAACTTTGTTATTTTTAAGGGTCTAGCTTTAAAAACCAGTCACTCATCGATTATTGCATCATTTCTCAAAATTAGGTACGCATCGCGGATTTAAATCCCGTGTATTATTCTGTATTTAAGTGAAGAATGCTAGAGGGACGGGCGCATTTATTCACCGAATTTTGAACCATGTGTCACTGATCCGTGAGATTACTCAGTCATAAAAAGAACTACTTAATTGTTTCTCTAATTAAAGGAGTGATACTTGTGTATAATTGTGGTAGAGGCCTCATATTTAAGATCAAGTCGCCGTTTCGGAGTCGACAGGAGATCTGGGCACACACTACAACAGGATTTCAACAAGCAACCAAATGTATTGAGTTTTAATTTGCCAAAATTTGTTTTAATTTTTGACCCAAATTTAAATGACAACACTAGAACTCACCTAGGGAAGAAGGAAAAGCGTGGAAATGATCACATTCCACAGAGAAATTAATCTTTTGAGACGACAAAATTAGCCAAATTTGTTCTCATACACTACGCATGCATTATTCATGTTGACTTTGCTCTTCCCCTTAAATATTTGGTTCAGCTACCAAAAGAGAGAATTGTGCAAATCCAAAAACAAATGCGGTCTTTGTCACTGTGCAAATCCAAAAAAATCAACAAACACTAGAATTGTGATTTCCACTTAGCCAAATTTTCGATAACCATTGGTCAGGTCCAGTTCTCTCGTTTAGTGAGCATTGGAACTGGTAAAAAAATTATTCCTTATTCATAATGTGAAATTAAATAAAGAATTCAGGCTTCGGTTTCTTTCAATCATTTTCGATTTCCTTACTGTTCTCAGTGAAGGTAAACAAGTACGAACTCATACTTCTGAGTGTTTGATTTCAAGTTTTTATTTCCTTAAACAATGTAGAAGTGGAAAGAAAAAAGAGTTACTGAATCACCTCCGATTTTTTAATAACAAAAGAGAAAATCAATTCCTTTTGGCAAATATTCACTTTCTGTCTATTTTTTTGACAAATATCATGACATGTAAAACTATCATTTGAACAATTCGACGAGGTCAATTTCAAAATAAGTGAAAAGAAAAAAGAAAAAAGAAAAAAAGGACTTGATGAATTTTCAATGTTAAAATCTTGGGATCCATCCAATAATGAGAAAATTTTCAATTTAACCATTGCGTTTTGATTTGTAATAAGACTAAAAGCATATTTCGAAACCAAGTTTTTGTTCTAAAAGAACACCATGAACATTCACAATTCCGATTCTTGACAAGTTGTTCTTGATCATCAAAAGCCACAATACTTCCTACTTCTCAGAAGCGTTTCATCAAAAACATTAGGGGGAATAAAATTTACCTAGGCACATTATCATTGTCATTACAAAGAAGTTAAAAAAATATGCAGAAATCAATCCCATGAGCTTTCAAGCTTTCACACAGCAGTTGAAGTAGCTGAAGATGCTTCTTCTTGTCTGTCAAATAAAATTCAAAATACAGTAATGAGAATATCATACTAATATATGCGCAAAACTTGTGCAACAATCAATATTTCAACTCAACAACACCAATAAACCCAGTGTAATCCCACAAGTGGGGTCTGAGGAGGGTAGTGTGTACGCAAACGTTATCCCTACCTTGAGAAGGTAGAAAGACTGTTGCCGATAAATATTTCAACTCAAGAGACATCAAATAATCAGCAATATATCAATTTTTTGTCCAGACTTTTTTCCATTTATTTATTTCTCTTGTTTTGATTTTTATTTCAGTTTTCTTCAAGGGGGCCAGGTATTGCATGTGCCTTTGAAAAATAGGGATAGCTACTTGCTCAAAGAATTTTTGTGGGCAATAAAAGTTGCTTACCAAATAAGGCAAGCATCACTTTCTTGCAACTTGCTTATATTATTCATGTGAGTTTGGCACTTATCCAAGGACCATATGAGAACAGCACTTGTGCCCAATTTACACCACCATTTAATATATGAACCACATTCAATCAAACAACAACAAACCCAATGTAATCTCACCGGTAGAGTCTGGGGAGGTTAATGTGTACGCAGACCTTACCCTTACCCTTAAGAAGGTAAAGAAACTGTTTTCGGTAGACTCTCAGCAAAATATGCGCTAGTTAAGGTTTGACCCTCTGACCTTTTAGAACAAAATCAGGCACATGCCCAACGCACGAGAGACTACACATTCAATCAAACAAACAAGCTTTATTCCCTTTTGTATCTACTAAAAAGTTTAAGTGGTTTCAATTTTGCAAGCCTAGAACTTCTAATGCATCAAAAAGAAAACAGCATCAAGTGTCATATCAGAAATTGGTTAATGCATACACCCTATTAAATATAGCCACAACTTTTCTCACACTAAACCTTACAACAATTATTAGACCTTAGTCCTTCTCACACCAAGTCTTACCAAAAAAGAACAAGGCAAAACAAAAGGCCAATATTTCTATCCTTATTCCAACGTTATAAGTAGCTCATAAGAATTATTAATAAATCTTTGGTCGTACAATAATTGTTATTCCATTGTCTGAAACTTCTCATGAGCTGGTATTATTTTAGAAAATGTACTATAGTTATATTAGAATGTAAGGTTGTCAATGCATGCAACCTACTAGTCAGCATTGTTCCCCTCAATGGCCCCACCACATGTATCCCACTAAATACCATTTGTAACACCCTTTATTAATAACTGCCAACTACTTGTCTGATCATTACTTGAAAACTAGCTGTAACTCTATCAGCATTTAAACAAAAATGGGAAAGTACAATGGTAAAAAAGACAGGCATTTAAAAGAACTTACAGTTGGAGAGTGGTTTTGATGGTAATGGAGATCATCACTGTGGGCTGAGTGATGATGGCCTGTATTTGCATTTTTATTAGTTGAGGAAATGAGTTCTTCCTCATTTCCAAGACTTGCTCTTGACAAATCCCTTTTGTTCTGTTTCCTATTCTCTCTTATCTTTGAGAAATCCATAGAGTAATCTGGCATTACACCCTTTTGGTCCCAGTCTCCAAATTGTGGCACTGATAGCCATGGTGCTGTCTTCTGTTAATGGAAAAAGTTCTTAATCAATTTCATATCAACAATCATTCTCCTAATTGTTTCTTAAGTTACTAAGTTCAAGAAAATATTTTTTGGCAACCTCACTTAACATCGGCGTAACTGATAACTGATAAAATTGCTGACATGTGACCAGGGGTCACAAGTTCGAGCCGTAGAAACAACTTCTTGCCAAAATGCATACAATAGACCCTTTTGGTCCGTGCCTTCCCCGACTCCGCACATAGCGATGTGATGTAGACAACCTAACCTAATTCAAGTATTAATAGCTGCTTCCACGACTCGAAAACATAGAGACAACTGCTCCAAGGCTTCCTTTCCAGGGTTACATTTATAGCCATTAATTTAAAAATAAACACTAACATAAATAGAAATGCATAGACTGGTCCAGCTGGAAGATATCAACTAACTGTCAGGTACACAAAAAAATTGCCTTGCACTGACCTAAAATTTTTCAAACTATTTGTGCCAAACAGTGACAGTTCAAAGTCTAAAAGATTGACTAATCTTAAAGTTTAAACAATAGTTCTACAGCTGAGGTTGATCATGACACCAGTAACTAATTGAGAATTTTGACTAAGTCCCCATTTTTTCCTAACACCAACATCTTTACCAAATTATATTTTAGTTCACATGATGAATAAACTTGACCACAATGATTTTCTAGTTGGTCTAATACATTCAAGATTCAAAAAAGACAAACAATTTAACCCCAAAAAAAAGAAAAAGAGAGCCTCATCACTAAATTCAAATATGCAGAGAAGCAGAAGTTTAGACTTCAGATTCATACACTCCCAAAAAGGTACACAGAAAACAAGACAGTTCAGAAAAATAAGGAGAAAAGAGGCTTTTAAAATGTAACTCTGAATTAAAGCATATGATGGCTTTTAAACAAGACAGTTTAGAATTAAAGCATATGATGAACTTAATTAAAGAAAACCAAGAAACTGTGTTATAACTCTGAATTCTCAAGAAAATAATGAAAGTAAAATCAGCAAGAAAGAACAAACTATGCTGATAAAGATAGGAACTTTCTCTTTTTTTAAAAAACAATTTCATTACCTCTTTGCGATCATCCATTGCAGAAACTGAACAGTGAACAAAGATACAAACTGGAAAAAGGAGTTTTGGAGATAAGAAAGCAAGCTATTTGGTAGGGGGAGGAAGCTGGGAAATAGTGAAATTTTGCAAAAATACAGGGGCTTTAGTTTGTGTGCTGTGGATATGTATTGTATCGTTCGTTGTCATAAAAAAATAAGATACGTATATAAAGAGATAATAAGAAACAAATAAGGCCTATGATTATATTTAACTACGGAAATACCATTAGGCTTTCACACGGTTATTACACCTTATGCCCTTTCGGTCTCCTTTTTCCTTTGCTATTCTGTATATGAACGACTTTTGCAAGTCTCAATAATAGCTGTGTACATTTGACACGTTTTCTTAAGCAAATCATCAAAAGTAATTGGATTTCTTTTTTCTCTCTAACTAATCTTTAACTTTTTGGCAATGGATCCTTTGGTAGGCGTTTGGACATAAAAATTGTAAAATTAGAAAAAATGGTGAATTATTTGAAATTTAGAGTTGTGTTTGGATATAAATTTCAGTTTGGGTTGTTTTTGAAGTTTTGTGAGTGATTTGAGTAAAAATTTTAAAAAATAGATTTTTGGAGTTTTTAAAATTTTTGAAAATTTCCAAAATGCATCTTCAAGTGAAAATTGGAAATTTTATGAACAAATGCTGATTTCGAAAAAAAGTAATTTTTTTTTGGAAAAAACTTCAATCAAATTTTATATCCAAACGGGCCCTTAGATCATCCGCACGATTTATAGGTTACGGAATCGAGCCGTAAAATTAATTATTCATACTTGCATTAAGGTATATTATTTACGTCATACCATTTAAGTTGCGGTCCTTCTCCAAATCCCGCATAAACACATAACACCTTGTGTAGTGTTCTTTTTTTTTTTTTTTAATTTTAAATGATAGGGTGAATAGTTGAGCAATGGAGGAAATATTAGAACAATTTACGCACGTAGAGAAAGTAGAGTGTTGATACTTGTTTTTATTTCTAAAAATAACATCTGATTTGGAGATTCTTCTAAAAATGTAAATTTCCTCGCATTTCATATTTAGGGTTTAATAAAATACTAGAAAATCAAGACTTATTCCAACGTGGAGAACCGACCACTCATTAAGAATATTCTAAAATTGCAGAGCTTAGTCCATCAAGCCGTTAAATAAAAACATGCTATAGTGCTTATTTTTTATAATTATATTTAAATGTAAAATTTGTTAAAAATCACAAGAGGCTTCAAATATAATATAAAAAAAACATTTTTTCTTACTTAACTATTGAAAAACTAATGTGGATTTTCTATTACAAAATTCAATACATCAATATTTATCTTTATGAAAATTTGAATGTCTAAGTAATGGCCAAGTACACGTGAATAAATTTTTTGATCTGAAATGTACGTATAGGTTTGGATAATTATTCATCAACCATTTAATAAGCAATGAGAAATCTATAATCTTAAAACAAAACTATCGAAAATCATAGACCAAATGTGCGGTTGAAAATATCCACAAAATTTTGATATCGAGGGAGGCAAAAGAAAATAGGCAACTTTTTTTTTTAATTAAACAGAAATTATCATAAATGGAGAGAGAAATTTGTTTGTGATAACAATAACATGAAGATAATGGTTAAATAATCAAAGCAAGAGGAAGCCAAATATGATTGATATTCCAAGCATTTGACATTGCATTTTGTTGATATCCGAGTCCCACAAGGACTTATTCTTCTTGACCTAATATATATGTTATCATTAAAAAAAAAAGAATAATAACTCTACAAAATCACTTTTGTAAACTCTATATTTATCTTTATAAATTCATCTAAAATGTACAAATTAACAATTTAGAGCTCAATACTTCAAAACTATTAAGATTTTTGAACACACACATTTAATTCGAGCTCCGCCTCTAACGAAGTTCGCACAGAGAGTCGAACTTTTACTATTATTATGTGCGTATTATTCTTCCACATAGACTTATATATATCGACTGCTTTTAAAATAAAAATGAGGATATCTTTGTCCAAAAAAAAAAAAAAAAAAAAAAGTAAACCTCAGGAGGCGATGTAAGCCGGATCAGTTGTTAATTTGTTATTAGCTGTAAATTTCTGGGGCAGTTTATACAGATTTAAAATAATTTGCTTCATTATCATAGAGAATGTTGAATAATAATAATAATAATAATAATAATAATAATAATAATAATAATAATAATAATAATAATAATAGACCTAAACATGACTAGAACACATGTAAGCAATACTTAATACTCTCTCCGTTCACTTTTACTTGACACGCTTTGACTTTTAACGCCCTTAAGAAATAATAAATGAAGTGCATAATTTACCATGATACTCATATTAATTAATGCATATTTTATTGAATTTGAGAAAATGATTTGAAATGAGTAATAAATACTGTGGTTATAACAGAAAAAAAATTATCTTCTCATAATATACGTAAAGTGACAAATAAAAATAAAAATCTATTTTTAATATATATGTCAAGTAAAAGTGAAGAGAGTCTATCTCTGTAACGAATCTTTGGACCGCAAAAATGCCTAACTTAATCAGATCGGCAAATTGATTACGACTGTTGCAATTATGTACTCTTTTAATAATCGCGACCATTAAATTAATGAACTATCCTTAGAACGAACATTCCCCGAAATCTTTAACTAAGAACTTGTCGCTAATCATAGATTTAGTTAATCCCAAAGTTACATGGTACAAGTTCATTACGATAAAAATAAATAAAAAAATTAAAAAGATAACTGGGCATAATTTTTTGGATCTAACAACACTTTTCTAACATCCATACCTTTGATTGCCTTTTTTATTTTTTATTCAAAATAACTTTTTGGGGCAAAATTTAAAACTAGTTGCATAAAGCTTTTTGATGCAAGTGGTTGTAGTCCAAGTTTGACTAGTATTTACATCAAATTAATAAATAAATTATCACTAAATTATAATTAATAAATGCATTTTTTACCTTAATTTTTTACTTAACCATAATAAAATTCATCTATCAACATTATCACTAATTTTTAGGGATAATACATAATTACCACATTAGGGTTTTAGCAAATTGCCAGATAAACCGTTTAATTTTGCGGGATCCTATGACCCCCTTGTACTATTTGTTAAATGTGTAATAAATAAAACCTAATTTTAACGATATAGCCAATGTATCACAAGTGATTTATAATTTTGGGAAGAGGAAATGTGACTATCATGACCTTGGATGTAGAGTGGATTTGGAATAAGCTCATGGCCATTAGAAATTACTATATCCTATAACACGTATTATACTTGATGGATGTACACATGATACATACTCATAATTGACTTTATAGTGGAATCAATTATCAATGGATTCCAGTTGTTACATCCCAATCCTAATTAAACTTGGTCATGATTAGGAATGTAAATGGGACGGGACGAGACGAGGCAAGTCTTGATCTGCTAAAATTTTGACCCGTCTGTCCCGTTTAGTATCTTTTCAATTTTTTGGTCCTAGACCGGGCAAATCTCAAGATTTCTCATCCCTATAGTCATCCATAGTACTGATTACTATTAATAAATTTTCAGAGACGTAACACGTGAAAATAGGATAATATAAACTTGAAAGGCAAACTACAAAGGAGTTATGCACCACATATTATCAATCAGTTGATGATGTTGCCATTTTAATCAATAATTACAATTTAAAATAGCAAGTTCGAGTACTTGTAATTAATTAGTAGTTGTTTTTATTAGAAGCTTACACTTGTTTAAGCTTGAGTGTAAATAAATTATTCAATTTTACAAGTCACATCCAGGTTTACAATTTGAACTCTCTATCATTGGTCTCAACTCTCAACTCATCCTTCTACAAACAAAAAATGTTCCAGTACGTGTTAGACTATGACTATATTTGAAATTAGTTAAGTCACAAACTAATTAAAGAGATTATTTTAATTTCTTTTGATTCGAGTCCTTGGGTATTGATGTGTGGCAAAAATTTCATAGTTTCGTACATTATGTGCCTTGCATTTTACATGCTTTAATGATAAATTACACTTTATTTGCGCATAATGGAGTCTATTTTATGTGTAGGTGAATTGGAGATGAAAGTAGAGCAAAAGGGATACTTAAACGTTGAAAGTGTGCTCAAGAACAGTGAAAAGGAGAAATCTGGCGAGGCCAGCCAAAGGCCAGGCTGAACCTGGCTTTAGCCTAGCGAAGCCAGCCAAAGGCCAGGCTGAACCATGCTTTAGCCTGGCGAGGCCAGCCAAATTTCAGGCATTAGGCTGGCGATGCCAGGCCTGAGGCCAAGTCCAATCCGAGTTTTGAAGACTTAATTCATTCCGGGTTTGACTAGGATTGAGCCTACACGTTTAGGGTTTCTTCTACACATATAAATAGACCTAAAAACATCACTTGATAGGACTTGGGCAGCCCGAGGCAAGAAGAGCTGGTGGAATCACCCCTTGGGAGTGAGAATCATCAATTTCTACATCTTTTCATCTTTACTCTGTATTTTAATTATGCAAAATATTTGGGATATTGTTACCATGATTATGAATAGCTAATTTGTTATCTAGGATTTTGATGGAACCTATTGGATGATGATTTTCTTATTACGTTAATATAGATTTGCCGTAGTATTTTCTTTATTTGTTTAACTATATTATTCTTGTGGTTGATTGAAGGGCCCTCAATTAGCTGNTTTATGTGTAGGTGAATTGGAGATGAAAGTAGAGCAAAAGGGATACTTAAACGTTGAAAGTGTGCTCAAGAACAGTGAAAAGGAGAAATCTGGCGAGGCCAGCCAAAGGCCAGGCTGAACCTGGCTTTAGCCTAGCGAAGCCAGCCAAAGGCCAGGCTGAACCATGCTTTAGCCTGGCGAGGCCAGCCAAATTTCAGGCATTAGGCTGGCGATGCCAGGCCTGAGGCCAAGTCCAATCCGAGTTTTGAAGACTTAATTCATTCCGGGTTTGACTAGGATTGAGCCTACACGTTTAGGGTTTCTTCTACACATATAAATAGACCTAAAAACATCACTTGATAGGACTTGGGCAGCCCGAGGCAAGAAGAGCTGGTGGAATCACCCCTTGGGAGTGAGAATCATCAATTTCTACATCTTTTCATCTTTACTCTGTATTTTAATCATGCAAAAT